CGGCCATCCTCTCCTTTACAGCCCCAACTGGGATGGGAATACTAACTGCACGCATGCGGGACATTCTAACAATGTGGCGGCGACGTCACGCCGCACAGCACAGCGGCTGCGGGCGGTGGATACGGCACGGCACGCCGGCACGGCGCGGGGGAGGCAACTTCCCAAGACTGTCACTGGTCCCCGCCCAGGCCGCCAGCCGCCATTGACCCCGAAACTAACCACCCGTATTTCCTGACTTTGAGGGTAGTTACAACCGGGGCCGGGGCGTGGTGGTCGTGGGCCTCGGGTCGAGCTGGGCGCCGGGGCCTCTGAGGGACCGCAGCGCGCCGCTGGTGCGCACCGAGTGACTCCCGTCCCCGTCCCTGGCCGCGGCGCCACACGGCCAGGAACCGCTGACCGGCGTCCGGACACCACTAAATTATGGTATCTGTCTCATCTTCACATTTAAGTTGTACTATCGCTCTATGAATTCAACTGGAAACACAGTTAGTGAATGTGCTGTAGTTGTGTGAATGCCTATTCCTACACTTAGAGGAGTAAAGGAGTGAATTTGACTTCAAAATGCAAACACCTCTTACTCTAGGTGTAGGAATGGCGTTTACACACCTGCGACATTCTCACGCTTAGGTTTCTAGAAAAGATAACGTTCCGGGATGTTTGTCAAACTATAAAAATGCATGTAAAACTCATCCCTTGCTCATGCAACAGCGCCGATACTGAAAGACATTTATTTTACCTTTTGTTTTTGTTGGTTTTGTTTTTGCCCGCGCGCCGGGGAATTGGCTCGAGCGGAGTGACTCGACCGTTCGCAAAAACTATCGAATGTTTGCCCCGGTTTGGCACGGGCAAAATATATCGACCCGCCCGGCTCAGTTTTACTATCGGGAGCGGAGGGGGAGCCGGCGAGGCAAGACACCCTTGTAAAATACCACAAGTTTCTCGTGGGCGCCAAGCAGGCCTCCTCCTTGGCTGCGCGCGCCCCGCTAGCAGCTCCATGGAGGGGGCCGCACTCGTGACGTACGACGGAGGGCGAGGGAAGCGGGAAGACTGCTCGGGGAGGATATGAAGAGGGGGAGAGAGAAAGATGCGAGGAACAGGAGGGAGGAGAGACAAGCAGGTAGAGAGAGAGAGAGAGAGAGAGAGAGAGAGAGAGAGAGAGACTGGTTCGCTTGACCCGACAAGTTGCGGCCAAAGTCTATTGACGGCTTTACGCCCTCCTCCCCCCTCACTTTTCCCCCTTTCCCCTCCGCGACCACCAATGCAGCCGTCCCGGGACACACGCTCAGGTATAGCGGTATGCCCTAACAAAGTAAAGATGCACTGGAAGTACAAGTGACGCAAACTTTTTGATCGCGTTTTAAACACTGTGAACGATAGTAGTAAGGTTTACAGGGAAAGTTTCGCTGAGGCAAATTGCAATCGTAGAAATACATGCAGTACATATCAATGCATTGGCAGGTAAAAAATGTGCTCTCGTAAATTTACAACTTAGATTAGAATTCGAGTTGACAATAAATTGTAAATTTACGACGATATTTTTCACAGTGAATGGTTCAGCAAAAAATAAAATGATAATAATGATAAAAAGTGCAGCTACCCTTGGTTTTCTTAACCTTTCCTTATTAAGTCGCACAAGCCCAAAAGATGACAACGGGGGGCTTCTCTACAAACACAAGTGAAGTGTATGATATTCGATTCACACTTTTTTAAGTGCGTGCCAAAATTGCCAAACACACACGAGTATGTGTTCTAGTGTCACACACTTCTGTTTTGTAGGGTAGAGTCCGTGTTGAGTAGGCAGTTTCCCCCCTTACTAGTGAAAGTGAGCGACCCCCCCCCCCTCCTTCACCCCACCCAGGACGGTTATCCAAACGCAATTACGGCACGTGCTGCACAAAGGCCAGGCCGCCTCCTTACTCCTGCAGGAGCGTGATTTAAGAATTTCCCGCCCGGGGCCAGTGTGCTGCCGCCGCTGCCGCTTGCTATCGTGGGACAGTGCGGCCATTAGCCAGAGTGCGAGGAGCAGCGGAAGGGTTGTGGAGGGCGGCGTAAGAAACTTTAATGGGGAGGCACCGAGGCATTGCAAAGTGAACGCTTTGTAATCTGTGGAGCAGGGGGGCTGGCTGGGGCCGGCTAAGTGTGCGCGAGGTTGCCGATACTTTCATCTACTTGCTAATTTAATTAATGATTGAATTGGCGCCCCCTCCTGCCCCCCTCCCCGGCCTCGTTTGCTCAGCTTGTTTGCAAGCCATATAACGCCGCGTTAAGCGATCACATCCCTCGTCGTGTTATTTCGCGCGTGCCGCCA